TTCAAACAAAAGTGATGGAGTGCTGCGTTTCTGCAAAATGATTCCATTTATGGAAAAACCTGAACAAAGAACCCAAAGAATCATAATCAATATTTGCATTTAAAAGGAGCTGCTGTGCTAAATGAATAAGTCATTTATGCCTGATTGTAGGGGAGAGTAAATTATTATGTCCAATTGTAAATAGCATGTTTTGTTTTGAGAATATGCTGAAAATAAACCAAACGTAAAATGTGAACAACAGTTGTTTAAGGACAGATGTAATATTTCTTTATCTTTGTATTGTTATGAATATGTTTGATGCTTATTGTGTTTTGTTAAAAAACTAATACAAAAATATGTTTCGTATTAAAGCCTCAAACTCAATACTATTTCTGACACTTTGAATTGAAAAAGCTTCCTGGATGGGAAGCGAAATGTCTTCAAACTTGGAAACAAAGTCCAGTGGATTGTTTTTAAAACTTTTTTGGGAATGACTATGACCTGGATGACTGAGAATCTTCACCAGCATGTTGAAGCTTATTGTATTTCTAGGGTCTTAACAAAAACATTGAAGTAGTTCAACTGAAGTAATTCAGTCTCTTAACAAGATTAGTTTTCTTTTTGTTCCTTTTCATTTAGGAGTTTAGAATTTTTGTTTTTTAGTTTAATTATTTTGTTGGAGCTAATCAATAAAATGAGCCTAATAAATAGATAAAAACAGAATAAACAAGAAAAGCACTCAGAGTGCAGAACTCCACTTAGCAGCAAATTGTCCATGCATCCATTTTCTTTCATGCTTATCTCAAGTGGGGTCATGAGGGGTGCTGGTGCCTATCTCCAGCTGTCTACAGGCAAGACGCAGGGTCCACCCTGGACAGGTCGCCAGTCCATCGCAGGTCAACACAGAGACAAACAGGACAAACAACCATTCACGAATACACTCACACCTAAGGAGAATTTAGAGAAGCCAATTTAGAGAAGCCAATTAACCTAACAGTCATGTTTTTGGACTGTGGGAGGAAACCGGAGTACCCAGAGAGAACTCACGCACGTTCAGATAGAACATGCAAACTCCATGCAGAAAGACCTTGGGCCGGAAATCGAACCCAGATCCTTCTTGCTGCAAGGCAGCAGTGCTACCCACTGCCTACTGGGCAGCAAACTGTTACTTACAGTTATAGCTAAAACTCACACATGTTCTGGATTATTACCAAATTTAAATAAATTGTTCCTTGGGGTAAAAAAAAATTACAATAAAATCTGTTAAGAAGATTTCAAATGATCCTGCTAACAACCAAACAACGTCCCTTTTCTAGTGTTTTAGTCCTCAGTAAAATACCTCCATACTTTTTGAGTCCGCTGCTTATGCTGTCATTACTCACTGCTGCCACCCTCTGGTTTTGGGGGGAACCTCTTGTTATAAGCAAATATCCCTATCTCATAATGTCAGAGAATCTTGAAAAAAAAAAATCCTGATTATGATCTGGTTCATCAACAGTATTTAATGCTATGTTCCTTGGCATAAGATCGACCTCTGATAAGTCCTTAAATTCTCTCCATAACTTTTCAAGTTATCTTGTACACAGACAGACAGACAAACACGCAAAGTCTCCTAAAACACAACATCCTTGGCGGAGATGATAAATGGCAGTTAGGACTTTGGGCAGCCTTTAATTAATTGGCCCCATAAAACTAACCTGAATTGAATTGTTTTGAATCCAATCAAATCGAATTGCGTCGAGGGGCGCTGAGTCAGACCAGATTGGATTTAATTGAATAGAATTGGACTGCATTGAATTAAAATGAATGGGATTGAACTGAATTAAATAAATTTGGACTGAACTGAATTTACTGAAATTTAAAGTTATAGTGGGGAAATTTCGTGAATTTTTGATAAGACCCGCCCTCTCCACTTTAAAAAAATGCACATAATCTGTAAAACTCCCTGCATAATTATAATAAAGCAATTTATATGCATAAAACAATGGGAACACTATGGCAATAGCCCTACTACTCCACTTGTGAAAGTAAAATCTTTTAGGCTCTTTTTGGCATCAAGACAATTATTCTTATTGACACATTACCAGAAAGGACACTGTTAAAAAAAAATAAAAAATACACATGCACAACCCTGTACCCGCTCCCGAGAGGGAACACCTATTAAACTCGTGCTAGAGCCTGCCAGAGCCCATTTCTCCTTGTGCACACTCTCTTTAAAAGGTGCTTTCTGCATCACTCATACAAGCTTACTTTCCAAAAGAAGATTTGCAATTTTTCCATTTAGTCAGACTCACAAACCGGTAAGTGAAAATGGGGACGAGAACGTAGGACGACCTTACGTAAACATATCGCTAGAATGATTGACAATTATTTTGATGATCCACCTGGAAAAAGAACATCCCCCACTATAGCTTTAATTGAACTCGACTACATTAAATTGAACTGGACTGAACTAAACTGAACCGAACAGGACTAGATGCGAAGGAATTAATTTAATTTAATTTAACTAAATTGAATAGAACTAGAGTGTTTAATTGAACGGGACAAAATTAAATTGAATTGAAATAAAATTTAAGTAATCAAATCAACTTGTATCAAAATGAACCGAACCGAACAAAACTGAATCAAAATGAATCATATTAAATTGATAGTCCACTGGTTTGACAGACAGAGGCATGAGTCCTCAATCCAAAGAATACTTTACACCACTCCATCCAACATTTGGAAGCAGCTGCTCATCAACGAACGCCCGTTCCATACAGCTCTCTGATCTAAAGCTTAATGTTGCCTGAATTCAAACATAGATATTAGAACTACCTAAAAACGATTATCTATACAATTATCCAAAGCATTCACAAAATTGATCTAGGAATGGAAAAAGCAGACTTTAATAACAAGCTTCTAGAAAACTCAGTTAAACATCCTCTGACCCAGGGAAAAACAGTTATTGATTGCAGTGGTTTTCACCTTTTCATTAAAGAGCTTATTTTATTGGAAACAATCAGATTTGTAGGCAAGTATTTTTACTTTTGTCCGGTTCATTGCTGATAAATCTCTGGGCAGACAAGAAACATCAGAGCCTCCATGAGCTGAAGTCGTTACTGCTTCCCAACCCTGCCAACATCCCCATCTACAGACAGCTACGCTTAACACTCACTACTTTTATGAGCTGAGATTTATCTCCCCATCCTCACTCTTATTGCCATTGTCCCTCAGAAAGGAGGTCACTGTGGATGTTTTTCAGCAGGGAAACTCTTTTAACTAAAATACAGAATAGTCTCCTACCCACATGAACAACTTCTCTTCCATCATTTGTCTGTTAAGATCATTTTGCTATACTCCCTCTATGTAGTCTCATTATTTTTTAGTTTATTTTGAGCCTTTTTCATCATTACTTGCTACATTAAGGATTCAGGTCAGGTCTTATTGCTGTTGTGGGTAAAATTTTTAGCTCAACTATGGACCAGGGAGCAATTCAATGTGTCGAATTTAATCTAATATGCTTGGTGGAGCAATTTAGAGTAAATTTGTTCAGTATGAAATTTCCTACAGGATACAAATGGTTTGTTTTTTCTCATTAGAACAGAGCTGGTATTGGTATACCAGTTCATAGATATCAAACGATGAACATTTTAAAATAATAATTTTGAGTTATTGTGGGAAAAATATGTCCATCTTGGTCCTATGTGAAAGAAGTAAAATCATGCTGCAGAAGTCTTCAATACCAGTCCTCAAGGACTGGTGTCCTTTTAGATGTGTCTCTGCTTCAACACACCTGATAATCAGGTCATTAGCAGGACTCTGGAGAACTTGACTGCATGCTGAGGAGGTAATTCAGCCTTTTGATTCACGTATGGAAGCAGCAGCTGTGGTTCCATTAAAAATGTGTGCAAAATGTCATTGATATTCTGCTAATGTTGAAAAAAAACACAGTTTCAACATAACAATGTTGCCACTAAATAAGAGAGACAGTTAAAAGGACAGTTGCGGTGTAACTTTATTTTTGTAATTACAATTTGCACCACTTGATGGTCAATGGAAATGCAGCTGGAGGCGCATCTAAAAGGTGCAGGCATTGAAGATCCCCGCAGGAACTGCAATTAAAACCCCATTTTTTTTGGCAATAGATTTAATTTTCTTTAGCCACACGCAAACTTGATTGCAGCCAGATCTGTAGAATCAATATATCCCTTTAATATACCCTAACTGACATCATGAAGTAGACCAAAAGATCCCAAAAGCAACACATATTTTAAAGAAATACATAAATAGATGGGGACTGCTACAATAAAATGGAGGAAATATGGACAATATGGAACCTACTACTACAGTCATAAGTTCAAGAGAAAACTGAATCAACAGAAAAAGAAAAACATCTAAAGCTCTGTAGGCCTAACTTGCCTGAGTTAAAGTTGAGGTCAATAATTCCAGAATAACAATTAACATAAAACATGCTGTTGATTAATGGGAGAAAAAATAGCCTTTTTTGGAAGGTGTGTGAGCAACTACATCTATATTAAGCTAAAACAGCATTTGATCAAATGAACAATAAACCTACATCCATGGTGGTGGCAATATGATGCTCTGGGACTGCTTTGCTTTCTGTAACACCAGGACCAATTGCTTTGACTGAGCCATGAGTTCTGCTCTGTTGCAGAAAATCCTGCAGAAGGTTCAACCATCAGTTTAGGGGCAGCAGTGGATCCTGCAGGATAATTACCTAAACGACACCAGCAGGTCCATCACTGTATGGCTCAAAGTAACAAAAGGCAAAATAAAGACTTTGGATAAATGGTGGTGAAAGTCCAGATTGAAATCTGATTGACATCCTGTGGCCCAACTATCTATTGGTGCACACACCTAGCATGTGTGTGTGTGTGTGTGTGTGTGTGTGTGTGTGTGTGTGGTGATGTAGGGTGGGTGGGGTAATTCTGTCTGTAGTAAAAGTAAAGCCGCAGTGGATTCATCCCTGAGACGCCCCTCGTAGTGAGGAGACGAGCCGCAGCCCCTTGCCACTCCTTCCCTTCCTACAATTGGAAGAATAAGACCACCTCCCTCCCCCTGCTTCATCGGTATGCAGGCGGTGCAGTGTGTGTATCAGGAGAGAGGAGAGCGAGAGACGTAGCAGTCAGTGCAATGGGATAGAGGAGAGCGAGGAGGCGGAGGAGCAGAGTGAATGAGTGCTGCTGGATCTGCCTTGCCTTTGCCTTTGCCTGCGTGCCTGGCTGCCTGTCGTCTTTCTGGAGCTGGAGTATACCGCCGCGCCACGACACACTGACACAGAGCAGACCCACGGCCCATTCTCACCAGCTACGCACACCTCAGCAGCATCGATTTATCCACCATCTGAAAGAAAACCCTCAGAGGTTTAGCTCACCAGGCTTTCACCGTCATCAGCAGCACTGAAGCGGCCTGACGCCACTATTTAGGCACCAGCTGCTACCAAACTACATCTCCCTCCATCTCATCCTTTCCTCATCAACGCCACCTCGACTCTCCTCTCCTCTCGCTCCTCCCTATGCCCTTGTCCTCGGCGGCTCCTCTCACCTCCCTGGCCAGTATATGGATAGAAGCTCCCTGTTTCAGCTCATACAAGAGCAGGTAAGCATGCAGCGCGCGGCGGAGGTTTCTATGGTTACACAGTCTCCTGGTCACCTCTCTGTCTACCCAAGGATGGAGACGTGGAGGATGTGGTGAGAGCTGATGGTAGGATGTGTTTGCTGTAGCTGAATGAGATGAAGGGGAGCAACTTGGAGCCATGTTGGCTCTGGGGAACAGAAGGTCAGATCAGGAGCCCCAGCAGGAGGGGGCCACCATGCCTGATTTTATTTAACTGGTGAAAATGAAGGATAATTGTAACAGGAGGGCATTTACAACGGGGAGATTTAGAGGTTGAAATTAAATTATTCTTGGTCAGATAAAACTGCTTCATCTACATTTGAAGCACTAGTCATGTATCAGCAAAATAATTTTTAATGGAAATCAAATAGTGAAAAAGCTTTACACAAGAAAATTCCCTAAATAAAAATAAATATAAATAATGAAAGCAGTATATTAAAATGTAAGCAGAATAGCCTTAACATAAAATTTTAATTTTAAAGCACTGTGATCTTAAAATCTATCAGTTAATGTCAGACTTGCAGTCCATGGTATCTTCATTTGGTTTAAATCCACCAAAGGTTGTTATAGTCTGGAATTTGCTTTTGACCATTTCCAGGTTGGGATAATGTTTAATTCTTCTGCAGTTATCTACTTATCCCATTTCTAAAAGTAAAATTAAACAACACTCCTTAATAAGTACCTTGGTTTTGAAATAATGCACATTTTTGGGGCAGTTTTCAATTGAACCTGGATTTCAACATTTACTTATCAGTGTTTTTCTTTTTGACTTCCTGACTGAATGCACACAATGCACAAATGTATTTTCAAATCTCCACTGCTTTCTGTTGGGCTCTTTAAATTCACATTGTAGGATCATGCCTCCTAAACTAGATTAAGTTAAAATACCAAAAAAAAAGCATTAAAACTGCATTATTTTTTTTGGTTTATTTGAAAAAAAAAAGCTGAAAAAAAGCTAGAAATGATTTGCAATCCTTGATCATGTCCAAAAGGTAAAGATGTTGAAACTGAACAGACTTCACAGCTTCAGGCAGGAAGCTGTATTGCAGTCTGGTGGTCGTCTGTTCATGTGGTTGTATGCTTTCCTTGATGGCTGCTCTTTAAAAAGTTAATTGTGATGGTAGGAGTCAGGAAAAATATTTTGTGCTGTGGATCTGAAAAAGTTCCTGGACAGAGCAGTTGAACACCCCTGCATTGATGGATGGATGGATGGATGGATGGATGGATGGATGGATGGATGGATGGATGGATGGATGGATGGATGGATGGATGAATTGATGGACGATGGATGGATGATGGTGAATCAATGGATGGATGGATGGATGGATGGATGGATGGATGGAAGGATGGATGGATGAATTGATGGACGATGGATAGATGGATGGATGGATGGATGGATGGATGGATGGATGGATGAATGGATGGATGGACGAACGGATGGATGGATGAATTGATGGACGATAGATGGATGGATGGATGGATGGATGGATGAATTGATGGACGATGGATAGATGGATGGATGGATGGATGGATGGATGAATTGATGGACGATGGATAGATGGATGGATGGATGGATGGATGGATGGATGGATGGACGAACTGATGGATGAATTGATGGACGATAGATGGATGGATGGATGGACGGACGAATGGATGGATGAATTGATGGGCGATGGATGGATGGACGGATGGATGACGGTGAATCAGTGGATGGATGGATAGATGGATGGATGGATGGATGGATGGACGGATGGATGACGGTGAATCAGTGGATGGATGGATAGATGGATGGATGGATGGATGGATGGACGGATGGATGACGGTGAATCAGTGGATGGATGGATAGATGGATGGTGAATAGATGGATGCATGGATGGATGGATGAATGGATGGACGGACAGACGGATGGATTTCTTATTCTTACCCAGTGCATTTCCTTTTCTTACCTATTCAAATTGACATGGTTATCACTGTGATGAAATCCTTCTCTTATTCTAGGTTTCTGTTTTTATTTAGATTGTGTTTTAAATATAAAATCTTCTGTGGCCTCTTCCTTCTCTCTGTTTTTTAAGACTCTTACCCATTCCAAACCCAGTTTTTTTTTCTTCACCACATTCAGGCTGGTGAAAATGACTCCCTTTGACATCTGGTTTTGAGGGAACTTCCTGCCAAAACTGCCACTTTAATTCCCAAGTCAAATTTAGCTTTGGTCTTTCACGTCCAGAATTAACAAACCAAGATGGATTGCGGGAAAGACTCGACCCAAAGTGGATTTATTTTTAGGTAGAGACTCTGGAAAACAGTGCAGCTACCTCTGTGGGTGTGGGTGTTTTTGTCGTGTGCCTCTTGGTTCGGATAATGAACTGGCCTGTTGGGGTTTGGGCAGATTGGCAGATTTATTGGGCGGGTCATTTTGTCATGGAGGGAGAAATTGATTGGGCGGCTGTGGGGGTGTAGAGGTTCTGAGAGACCCGTCAGCAACATGCTGTGCACTCCCAAGGGACTGCAGCTCTATGTGGGTACAGCAGCATTATTCCCATCTGTGTGTTTTTTCATTAAATCAGGGTTGGCTCGGTTTGAGAAGATGCTTTCTGGGGACACTTTAAATCTGCGGAGCAGATTTGGATCCATTTCCTCTCCTTCTTCATAGCACATGTAGAACATGTTGCTTCAGTCAGTCTGACTCATCTGTGTCAGTATCACTTGGGATGTTGGGCAGAGCCTTGCGCTGAACGCGGAGCTGTTATTTCCAGGTTGTAAACAGCTACTTGTGTTATTGATCGGCGGCTGTATTTTGCTTATGCCAGGATGTTCATACAGACAGGTTGTAGAAGCACAGCTGAGCAGACCACAGTCCTATTAAGCTCAGGTTTGAGCCTAATCAATCTCTCAGGCTGACTGCAGACGTTTTTTCTTCCGTTTATGGGGTTCTATGTGGTGGCTTTTGATTTGGAAAAGGGTCTTTTTAATTTGACCAAAAGAAAAGAAATTGGTCAGCAGACTTTGGATCAAAAATAAGCTGCCTGTCTGAACCTTTGACACATTTTCCTCATCGAAAAGGTTTAGATTGTTTTCTCACAGCTGCGCCCTGCACATTTTTATTTGATTTTCACTGAGACCTTTTCACAAAACCAACATTCCCCATAAGCCTGCCAGCAAATCCAGAAGACCTTGAGGTCAGCTGTTTGGTTGACCTCCTAATTGAGATTTTAGGCGCATTTAGTGTAGAAAAAAGGTCCAATATGAGTCATATATTTACCCTTAACACAAACAAACAATTTCTTTTAAAAAACAGCAATATGATTGAACAGCTCTTGCAAAAATATCATATAGATTCTTTTTCCTACACTGCATTTAAATAATGTGGTGCTGTGAACTATAGAAAATGTTATGTAGTTATTCAGTATCAATGCCCTATAAACCAATAGTAGCATCAATAAAATACTTAACCCGTCTAAAAAAATTACACTTTTTGCTGCACTGCAAAAAATGGAAATCTAAATGAGTAATCTTTGCTTGAATTAAGCAAATGTTTTCTTAAAATGAGGAGTTAAGTGGAATACTTTGCCAATGGAACTAGACAATTTACATTTAAAATAGGAAAAAAAATGTGCTTTGTCTTATTTCAAGTGCATATTAACTAATTATCTAATTTTAAGAGTAAAAATACTCATTCCATTGGCAAATCATCTTATTTATCTGCTTAAATTAAGGGTAAATACACTTAATTTAAGATATTTTTTACTTATTTCTAGATGGTTTTTGCAGTGTGATATTACTACTTTGCATAATAACTATATATACACTCACCGGTCACTTTATTAGGTACACATGTCCAACTGCTCGTTAACACTTAATTTCTAAGCAGCCAATCACATGGTGGCAACTCAGTGCATTTAGGCATGTAGACATGGTCAAGACAATCTCCTGCAGTTCAAACCGAGCATCAGTATGGGGAAGAAAGGTGATTTGAGTGACTTTGAACGTGGCATGATTGTTGGTGCCAGAAGGGCTGGTCTGAGTATTTCAGAAACTGCTGATCTACTGGGATTTTCACGCACAACCATCTCTAGGGTTTACAGAGAATGGTCCGAAAAAGAAAAAACATCCAGTGAGCGGCAGTTCTGGGGGCGGAAATGCCTTGTTGATGCCAGAGGTCAGAGGAGAATGGCCAGGCTGGTTCGAGCTGATAGAAGGGCAACAGTGACTCAAATAACCACCCGTTACAACCAAGGTGGGCAGAAGAGCATCTCTGAACGCACAGTACATCGAACTTTGAGGCAGATGGGCTACAGCAGCAGAAGACCACACCGGGTGCCACTCCTTTCAGCTAAGAACAGGAAACTGAGGCTACAATTTGCACAAGCTCATCAAAATTGGACAATAGAAGATTGGAAAAACGTTGCCTGGTCTGATGAGTCTCGATTTCTGCTGCGACATTCGGATGGTAGGGTCAGAATTTGGCTTCTACAACATGAAAGCATGGATCCATCCTGCCTTGTATCAATGGTTCAGGCTGGTGGTGGTGGTGTCATGGTGTTGGGAATATTTTCTTGGCACTCTTTGGGCCCCTTGGTACCAATTGAGCATCGTTGCAATGCCACAGCCTACCTGAGTATTGTTGCTGACCATGTCCATCCCTTTATGACCACAATGTACCCAACTTCTGATGGCTACTTTCAGCAGGATAATGCACCATGTCATAAAGCTGGAATCATCTCAGACTGGTTTCTTGAACATGACAATGAGTTCACTGTACTCAAATGGCCTCCACAGTCACCAGATCTCAATCCAATAGAGCATCTTTGGGATGTGGTGGAACGGAAGATTCACATCATGGATGTGCAGCCGACAAATCTGTGGCAACTGTGTGATGCCATCATGTCAATATGAACCAAACTCCCTGAGGAATGCTTCCAGCACCTTGTTGAATCTATGCCACGAAGAATTGAGGCAGTTCTGAAGGCAAAAGGGGGTCCAAC